CTAGAGCATTATTCTTTTTAAACTAATTGCTTGATAACATTTCCAGGTGTGGAAAACAGACAAGTTATTCTTGGTAAGCATTTATTTTTTTTTTCTTGTCATAAATATGCTATATTGTCTTTCCCCTGTTTTCTAGATTATTTGTTACAGCATAGGTTTTAGTTGCAGATGACAAAAATGCCTTAAATGTTTATTTTTCTAACATGCAACCTTTGGAGTTATTGAGTTCACACTGGCTCAGGTATATGTTTTTTCTTCTTCATGGTGAATAGGTGGTGGCAGTAGTTCTCACTGGCATTCCTTCTTTCTTCACAGTTCAGTTTCTGTATCAAAAAGGGAGAATCAGCATTTCCTTCGGGTCCTTGCAACATGCCATTAGTTAAGACAAAGTCCTTAGGGTTCCCTTCAGGGCTTGTGTCCTTAAGAAAGGGGCTGTCTGAATACAGAGACACTCACTGAAGGAAGACAGCATGAAAAGATGCATGGAGAGGTGGGGTACCCATAAACCAAGGAGAGAGGCCTAGAAGAGATCCTTCCCTTAAGGCCTTTAGAAATAATCCTGCTGACACCTTGGTTTTGAACTTGCAGCCTCCAGTGCTATAAGAAAACAATTTGGATTTGTTCGTTTTTGTTTTTGTTTTTGTTTTTTTTTTTTGGTTGCTCTTGTGGGCTACTTTCTATTGCAACCCTAATAAATTACAGTAGCCTCCTCGGGCCAGGGATTTAGCTCAGTGGCATAGATGCCTGCCTGGCAAGTGCAAGGTCATGAGTTCAATCCCTGGTACCAAAACAAAACCATAGCCTCCTTGGCTGTATATGGTCTCATCATCGGATCTCCCTTATCTCCTCTGCTTTTTATCCATGAGCTACAAAACTTTCTGGGATGTTAGTACCTCGGGGCTTTTCATTTCCCCTGGAAAAAGCAGCAATGGAGTCTGGGGAAAAGAGTAAGCAGAAGCTGCTGGGTGGGCAACCACGTCTGCTACTGCTCAGGCTTCATGTACTGCACAGGTGTGGCATTCAGTATTTGTTAAATTCATGAATTATTCTAAGATTATATACTTTGTCCTCCTCCAACTATGAACTAATATAAATGATCTTTCTTTGTTTATTATCATCTTCCAGCTTTACACCATTAATACCAAAAAGACGATGTCCTACAGTTTAAAAGACTTTTTGTCTTGTAACAAATTTGTTGTCAGTAGAATAGCAGGGCTCCTTGGCATCTTATTAGTTTACTTTCTCTCACCTCGGCTAGCACTCATTTTGTTATCTAGGAATACGTGGAATATTCTGCTCTATGTGTGCTTCCTCTTGAAGTCAGCCTTCAATAGCATTTCCCATTTTAGTGGCTCCCATTTAGAACGCGGCTTCTTCATTTCAAAATGCATTGTTTTTCCTCGTGACGATACAATGTAAATCAGCAAGGGAAAAGAGTTTCTGCACTTTTTCCATAAATACTGCAGCAATATTATCACTGTCTTTTAGCAATTTCATTTCTTTTAGTAAAAGTAATGTAACTGCCTGGAATCCTCTGTCTACTTCTCTTTGTCAGTCTTCATAAAAACTGTGTAGCATATGACCATTAGAATCGATCAGCAGCAGTTTGATCTTTTTAATGACATTACCTTAGGAGCCCATAAAGCTTGTACTTACATTCAAAGGCAGTTGTTCCTAGTTGCCTCTGGGTATTTGGGGTGGGTAGGGAGATAACATTTTTAGGATTGGATTTTTGGACTTATTACCCCGAGTCGGAAATGTTACATACTCTTTATTTTAGGTTATAAACTTAAAATGGGACTTTAGAGCCATGTCAAAAAAATTCCTCTGTCACAAAATGTAAAGTTTAGCATCAATCTAAATGTTGCATTGAATCCGTTTTAGTTGAGAAAGCCCCTTTGGTTTTTTTCAAGGTCCTTTTTTGCTGGTTCTGAATATCTGTATGAACAGTCAAGCTTATATCCTTTTGAGAATCAAAATTCATTTTTAAGAAAATGGTGGGTGATTTCTCTTACATTAGCAAAGACTTCAGAATATATTCCTTTTAAGTTTCTATTGCTGACAAGAGACTGAAACATTTTACTCCAGCATCACTTAATATCTGTTTTATTTCAGGACAGCAAGATTGAAAGGCTTTTGTGTTTTTTTTTTTTCCCCCTGAGCATGAAGTGGGGACTAACGTGTCATTGTTTAATTATTAATTTGTGCTTACTTTTTAAGATTCTTTGGAGGCTCCCCAATGGCTGATAGTCCAAAACGCTTTGAGGAGTTTTAAATTTCAGGATGGTTGGTGTTGCCTTGCAGGCCATTAACTCTGGTGTCGTTGGGAAATTCTGAAATTGAAAAAAAGCAGGTTGGTGGTTAACTTTGGCTTCTCACTGTACTTGGAGTAGTGTGGTTTCCTGGCAAGGGGAACAGTGGAGGAAGCGCTGTGCTGATTTTGACACCTCACCAAGGAACCCTCTTAACGGGTCCTTTAAACCTGCTGGTCTTCATGAAAACATCCCTTCTTTAACTTGACCTTGTTTGGTTTCTCAGTCCAGTGTATCTGCTAACGTTTAGGTGATATTAACCTAGTATTACTTTCAACTTTACCTACTTGAGAATTTGTCAAAAAAGATGACACCACACCATCTCATAAGTGAATACAATATACACATTACCTGCAGTAAATTAGAAGTTATTATGCTGAAGAGATTTCGGGGAACATATACCTTGTTCAAAAATCTTTATAAGCAGACATCAGAAGTATTTTCAAGTTTCTAAGGTAATAAATTCATTTAACAGGCAGATTCTTTGTTTTTATTTATATTTATACAGTAAACTGGCTGATGAAGAGGAGATTGAAAGTATTAGTTCTCTTCAATTAGCAGTGTTAGTTCCAATGTTCAAATTCCTCTCTTCTCAAGGTAGTTCTTTTACATAAAGGAAAAATATATGCTCTTTTTCCTCATGTCATGTTCCTCTTGTAGGTTAAAAAAGCCTTTTTTTAAAAGGTAGGTAAAGTCCAGAGCATGTGGCGGAACACATGCTATTTTCTTCAGTCAACATGGAAGTAGGAAGGGTGACCTCCGCGATGCAGTTTTAGGCAGAAGTGCTGGAGTTGGCTGAGCTGTAAGATTTCATGGCACAGTGCTTGCAACTGCTCTGACTGTATTTAGAACGGTGTGGTTTCACGGAAAGGGTAACAAAGAATCTTAACACTAACTTCAAACTGAAGAGTGTTTCAAACTACCCTCAATTTCAAAAATTTGATACATACTGACAATAGTCCCTGAAAGCTGTTATGCTCTCATTTATAGTATACCACAGGGAAAGGGACCATACAAAAATCAGCTAAAAGAAGAGGCCCACAAGACAGTGTGGAAGGTTCCAAATGCTACCTTTCCATGTGTACTTTCATGTAACCCTCCCCACACTGCCATGTGATAATACACAAGAAGTATTGCCATCCAGAGAAGCTTGCTAATTTCCAGTGACCTCAAGTGTGTATTGAGGTTTAATTAGGTAGATGTAATAGGTTAATTGGCTGTGTGGTTGAACTCTCAGCCTCTAGGTCAGTTGATATCTTGGGACTTAAACCCTTCCTCCACTATGGTTGATCCTTCTGGTGTGGCCAGTGCTTACTGGACGTGGCTAGCCTCACCCAAAGATCTAATGTTTTCATCCCCACCTTACACAAAGACATCCTTATCAACAGTGAGGTTAGCTCCCAGAAGCAGAGAGCAAAGACTGCAACTGGAGCAAGTCAGAATCATTACATAAAAGGCAAGCTCCTATCTTTGCATAGACTTAAGGGTCAATTATTCTGGCACGTTGACTGAACGTTCTAAAATGCTGTGTGACTTACAACTGTCATCCAGCCACTCTTGGGCTCAGTATTCCTCCTCTGTGCACTGTTGAGATGAATATGGTGCTCGTCTCTAACAGTATGGTACGGATTAAAGAACACATCAGGGCATATACACTTAGCTCTGTCGCTTAAACTATTACTATTTTCATCATTTCAATGATTATCTTGTTTCTCACATATTGCACTTAATTATTGCTATTGCTTTGACAACTTATTTTTATTAGTGTTATTGGTATTTAAAGTAGCCGAAATATAAGTTCATAGTTTCAGAGATTTTTTGGGCTATCTGATCTTGTTTTTTTTTTTGTTTCACTATTCATGGAATCTGTTTCTGTGTCTGCTTATTCATTTTATTCATTCATTTTATTCATTCTTGTACAGAGAAACTTCTCTGCAAATCTGCTGAGTGGTCCAAGAAAGGAGAGTAAAAAACATTTTTTCCCCTGAAAAATTTGTTTTCACAGATGCTCTAGCAATGATTATCCAACAGCAGTTGCAAAGCATCGGGTGCTTGTATTATCTCACTCCTTTACAAATTCATTGATAATGAGAGACAATCTTGATTTATTCTGCATATGTTTTCTTTGAGGATGTTCAAGTTCTCTTAACCAAAGTAGGGACCTCTTGTGAAGGATAATTCTTCTTTACTGTGCTGCATTTTTTTTTTCAATTTACTATTAATGAAATGGAAATCCCACAAAATATTGATAGTTTTTCTTCCAAAATGGCAAAACAACATTACAATTTTTATGTTCAGCAGATTCTGTAGAAAAAATAACTCAAGTGTTCAGTGGATTTTGATTTCAGCTTTAGATTTCCTAGGAAGCTTATGTTAGAAAAGACATCTTACAATATTTTCTTCACAAAAGAACACACAGGGATAGTGTATTATTATAAAAAGTAATTAATAAAATCCTACTTATGGTTTCAAGTGATAGTATCAATGTGACAAAGTGTTTTTATATTCAATTTCATTCTCCCTAACAATGCAGTACCTACAGAGCATATTTGGTGGTAAATGGAGCACTGTCTGATATTATTTTTAAGAGTAAACACTATTTGCTTGTTTTCTTTCTTCAGTCCTGAAATGCAGTCTTACAGTGATTTGTCCTTATTTGCATTATTTTGATCTTTCCTACCCGTATAGGTGAGCTTCTATTGCAAGGACCCGTGTTTCTCAAAGAGCCCAGCAACAGCATTTTCCCTGTTGATTCTGAAGATAAAAAAATTACGTTAAACTGTGAAGCAAAAGGCAACCCTTCACCTCATTACAGGTACAGTGTAAAGTTTCAGAATGCAAACGGAAAACAAATGTAGTGGTTATGGAATTTTTTACTGCAAGATATTTAAACCATTCTTAGGAAACAGTATAGGAAGCTAGAGTTCTGTAATATGTTTAACAGATCTGAGTACATGGACTTTCAAATCTATACAGTGTATATATGATTGATTATACACTAGGATATGATTTCTGGACTAAACATGATAATATCTTTTAAGCATGCAATTTCTTTTCATTGACATATAATGCAATCAAATTTCTAAGGTTGAATTTACATGTAGTTATCAGAAACATATCCATTATGGGGTGAAATCAAGTTGATCTTAAAGATAATTTGAAATCATAGTAAAAAAATTCTTCCTTGTTCTTCTTTCTTCTACCACTTTAATGAGTACATATTTGGAGGTTTATTCGGTATGGATTACTGAGACATTTTCTTACTAAAGTCATATATTTTGAAGGGAAAATATGATTCATTTACTAAGTTTTTATCACTTTCACAGTCTGTTTTTTTCCCCAAAACTAGGGATTAAACTCAGGGTCTTCACACAGAAATATACTCCAAACCCTTTAAAAGTTTGTTTTCCAAACAGGGTCCTATTAAATGAATGAGTTGTCCAGAATGGACTGGACCGTGTAATTCTCCTGTCACAGTCTCAAAGCTGTGATATCATGGACGTGCACCAGTGGCTATATTTTTAAGATTATGTAAATAAGAATTTAGTCACTTAAAACCTTCAAATATTACAGAAAGGTATAAGGAAAAAAGAGATGAAAATTGAATCAACTTAAAATGAAAGTATGAATATATAGATATAGATTATCAAAATGTGATAAATATTTACTTATTTACATAACACAAGATTAACAACTTTTAGTCTTCTGGATGCTGAGGTGACTCACTTGAATGAGGAGGTGAACTACATGTCGATGTCATGTGCTACTTTCATGTAAGTGGTTTCAAAATATTTTGAAGGTGCCTTCACAACAACATGAATCTTTAAGTACTTTGAATGTCCCGTGCAAAGCTCCGTTTTCTCTATTCTTGGTTTGGCATAAAATTAACTTCAGAGCACACTAACCTCACCCTGTATTAACAAATTTATGAAGGTTGAGAGTAGGCATTTAGATCCTATTGAACAGCTATTGTTCTCTTTATCCATATGAATGATAGAAACCAATAGTCATGGTTAAAATGGACCAGGAGTGGGTTGGCAGGTAGACTGTTGTATTTTGCATCTGGAAGTAATCCAAGTGTTTTTCAACAGTATTTAACAGCAAGGATGCTGAGCACTTACTGTGTACTTTCAGTGATAAACAGCAATTTCTGGTTACTCCTCTCAATGGATAGAGATGACAAGAAGTTCTTTATGTCAGTTTCTTCCTACAGACATAAGAAAAGTGTAACTGACCATTTAAAAAACAAGAAAGTTTTATTTTATGAGCTAGTCAGATGTAAGCACATGACACATGTAGAATTATTTCTGCTTTTGGGAAATTTTGAACAAAGCAATTTAACACCATACTGTTCTGGATTCTGACAGTTTTCTAAGATGTTCTAACCTTATAAATGCATCTGTTTTTTTTTTCCCCCCTGGAGTGGAAGATTATCCTTGTTGACATGGCTGTAAATATGATAAATAATCCATGTGAATGACTCAGGGTTGGGAGTTTTTTGTGGTGTCAGTCGAGTTGTATTTTTTGAGATTTCTCATAAAATAATTTGGTGATAAATACGTTTAACTGAATAATTGTCAAGACACAAGATTTAGTTGGGAGAAATGCAATTCTAAATGAGTAGATTAATTATGTTTGTATAATTTTATCGAACAACCAGATGTGTTGAGCTTTAGAAATCTAAAAGTAGCCTGTGTTGCAATTATGTCTTTTTTATACCAGGCATATTTGTATGCCATGGAGTCTGTGTTTAAATGTATTAATTTCGTAAGTGTTGATAAAGAAAGTTTGCTATTCTTACAGTGACACTTCTGTTTTATTATGTGTCTTGGGATGTCATGTTGGCATTTGGATGTTTCAGTTTAAAAAAATCTGTAACAGAGAAGAGGAGGTATGTGACTTAGATTGATTTATTAGTTGTAATGCTAAAGATAAATGAAGAAAGTTAGCATGTTAAGTATTGTTTTATTCCTCGAATTGTAGCCAGAGAGAACAAACATTTTCATTATAGTTTTAAAGATTTTCTGAAGTTAAGATTTCTATCCTATATAAACTTTCACTTAAACCTAATGTTTATAATCACTGGAAATTGAGAAGTTGAGCACAAGAGAATCTCTTTTCATTCTGAGAAATATGAAGCTTTCCTAGAACAGAACTCTGTAACTATGTTATTTTTGAGAAATAGACCATGCCAGTTACTACAGGATAGTGTGGATTGTGTGTAAGGCCTTTATTTTTGGCCTTTTTTTCTTAAGTTTTTCTAAATGGTCAATAAGATAATAGTGTCATTTTTTAAATGATCCAAAAGAAAATATACTTGCTTATTGTTATATTTTTGCTGTTCTTCAGACATTATAAATACTGTAAACATGAAATAACCCGATAAGAGTAAGAAGCAGAGAGGGATTTTTAAAACATGAAGTCAGGAAAATATTTTTAAAATTGAGTTTATAAATATAAGCAGATAAACAGGAAGATAGTGAGCCAAGGAAGGAAATTAGGAAGACACACAAAATCACTAGTTAAAGAAAACTTAAATGTGTTTCTGAAGAGTCAGAACACAATCTAAGGGCCTATAAAAAGAGTGTCCTCTAAAAGCTCACAGCCTGCCTTCCAGACAGACGCAAACTTGTCCTATGAGAAACCTTGTGTTGTTATTTTCTTGGTGAGTAAAAAGAACTCTTAATGGACCACATTAGAAATCCAAAAGTTCAGAAATGCTCAAGAGAAATTACTTGTCTTAGGGTTTAATTGAGAATTTTATTCTTTATCTTACATTTCCCTGCCTGAGCCCTATAGCTTATAGTTAAAGGTTAATTAGTATTCAGTCTCACCGTAATTGCTAGGAGTGCTGAAAGAGGTTACCCTGAGGAAGTATTAGGACTTTTTAAATGGGAAGAATGTTTCTCCTATATTTCATGGGGTTGGAAATGCCCAATGGTTGTTGAAAGACTTCATAGGGAAGGATTTATGGTCACTATTGATGCCATGTCACATTTAAAAGGATATCAATTTTTTTCGCACTAAACTGGAGTAAAATACATAAATACCAATAGGGAACAGGCAGGTAACAAAACTGAACGAGAGGGGCCTGCCTGAAAAGCACATTGATTAATGACCAGAAATTCAGATTCTCAGCCATCAGCCTAACAAATGGTCATAGCTGTTTGTCAACCTTGGCCCATTGCTACCATCCAGAATCTGTCTACTTTTAGTGTTAACTCTGCTTTTCCGTTTCATAGGCCAAAGAAAATAAGCCCTAAGTCTGAATATGGTCCATTTGGACTTTGGGTTTTCAAACTTCTGTTTGGCTCAAGGCTTTGGAGCTGTGATGTCAACCATGGTAGCCAGTGCTGTATGTAGCTCTTCAACTTTAAATTAATAAAATTACTAAATTAAATTAAAAGTAAATTTTCCAATTACAGAAACTTCAAGTATATAGTGGCTAGCGTATCCCCCAGCCCAGTCATGACTGTACATCTGAAATATTCTGTTAGATACATTTCTCCAGAACAAACCCTGGACCCGCAGCGTTCTACACAGGCCCTCCTGTTACTTTCTTTTCACAAAAAAAATGAGCAAAATGTTGACTTTATCATTTCTACAGAACAAGAACAGTATGAGGAATCTTGGATACGCAGTTCTAAGGACTAAATTTCATCCAGTGGGTCTTTGCGGTCCTTTTAACATGAGTCACATCCTGCGTGCTTTAATTACTTAGAGTCAAAAGAAGAAGACAGTGGTAAAGAAGTACACTGATTGTGCTTACTGTCTATTCAAGGAGTGCATGTGCAAGGGGGAGTATGTTAAAATGTGTGTGTGTTGATATACATATATATATATATATATATATATATATATATATATAGTCATACATAAAGTACTTTACATTGTAGTTTCTATAGCACTATGTTCGGCTATCTGTGCTATATAGATACTATAAGTTCTGCATTTGCACAACATATATTCCATTTAGAGAATAAATAGTACAAATATAGTTTATTGCACATAGAACTTCATTTGTATATTATCTGTAATCTCCTATATATATATATATCTATCACAGAAGTGACGTATTTAAGTATTTTTTATTACATGAATTTCATCCTTACCCCTATTTCTTATTACCATGTAATATTTGATATGATCATTATTTTACTTGTATGTCCTATGGCAAATACTGCTCCTCAATTCTTCTGATCCCTAAAGGAACATAATAACCCTTTCTGCTAGTTTTTTGGTCCATTTCTCAGCAGTCTTCTTTAAGCTGAATGCGTTTCAGCATCCCGAACATCTCGACTTCTCTACCTGGTGAACTCTGGTCCCCATATCCACATTCACCCCCTAAGAGCAATGGAATAATCACGTGACTGGGATAATTGCAAAACATACAACAAAGAATATTCTGTAGAGCCTGAGGCAAGCAGAAGTAGACACCAGCTTGTACAGAACATTTAAAACTCATGTGCTACCATCTCTCCCAGAGAGCCTTCTTGATATGCTCTGTTTTAAATTCTATACCACAACACTGTGACTATCCATGTACCTCAACCTTTGTGCATTATAAAATAAAATGTGATTGTCCTGATTGGCCGTAATTTTCCTAAACCTAGTGTCTGTACTCTTCACCCTTGCTTTACAAATGCCTAGCACATAGTGAATGGTCAGCTGATGAAATAGAATAACATTGAAGTTAACAAGAGGAAAACAAAAGAAATTAAGGATCAGATCACAGTTCCATAGGGAAGAATGTCATGAAGGAGCACAGGTTCAGACATACTTAAGTAGGTTTAGTCTATCATGTAATTTATTTTG